GGGATTTAGGGATGTCAGACGGATTCAAAATTTCGGTGATGTTTGCGTTCAGTCGGGCGTGACCTGTAAGCTACGAGTTTTCAAAAGGTCTCAGAAAGTCGAAGGGTTACCTCCGGCGGGCAAATGGCGCGAGTCTGCCACTTCGAGCTCTGGAGGCTCCGGAGCCCTGCCATTTCATCCAGTTTGGTGCACCGGGGCTCTCACAAATCTGGCGCACCTCCGGAGCAGAGATTTGCGTTCATGGTGAATGGATGGGACTCCTCTCCGAGACGCGCAAATCTCTGCTCCGGAGGTGCGCCAGATTTAAGAGAGCCCCGGAGAAGTAAATGGTTGAAATGGCAGGGCTCCGCCGGAGGTAACCCTTCGACTGTCCGAGGTATGCCCGGGATGAGCGACATGCGATTAGTCCCGAAGCGATTGAACGCCGGGGCATTCTATGTTCCAGCGATGAGAATCACTACGATGGAGTCGCTGAAGTATGCCCGAGGTGTAAGCAGTGAGCGGTGATCGCTTGAAGAATATTGTCGTTTTTATCCGTCCTCGTTTCTAGCTACGCTGCCGTCATTGAGAAGAATTGTTTCATGATTAATGGCCGCAGCAACCAGTTCCATGAATCATTACCGGCTGTGATATATGTTATGAGCTTTGCATTAGCAACCATTCAGCGACCCATATCTGTTTCATGGTGAATACCATATTTGCAATTTATCTTTCAAAACTTTTGCTCTAACAAGGAGTACAACTTGATTTAGGTACTTATGCCGCGATAACAGAGAGCAAAGATGGTGCTATGTTTACTTTGAAGACTTCCTAATAGATAGTACGAGCAGACCATCTCCAAAAGCCTTCGTCACTTTTGCAAACTGAGTAAAAGTACATTTATCACGCTTCTTCAAATAATTATTCCACCACTGTGAACAAGAACGTTGTTTGAAATAACGACTGCTCCCCCCCCCTCTTTCCTCCATCTTTTTTGACGCTATTCTCATAATCTTTAACTGATATGCTCAAAGATTCTATTGCACATTCGATCCAAGCATAGTTCCAGGTTGTGAGCTGTGCGGTCGCAGCATAGATCATTACTTACTTCAAGGCAATCCAACGAAAAAAACACGATAAAGTTTTTCAGAATCATTGCAGGCGCGTCTATTTACCGGCTTTGGAATGTTATATAGTGCTGTAGCCTACTTTCCTTGTCGCTCATCCTGAGAAACTCATAAAATTTTCCCTGACGGATAGCTAGCTCATCGAGCACAAAAATAAATGGAGTGCCCTCCTTGAAAGTAAGCAATCTCATCTCCCGTAATTAATTCAGCATTCAATTAAAAAATTTTTTGAAACTCTTGTATGCAAGCAAACATTTTGAAAACTTCTTTAGAAAAAGAATATCTTACTGTTGGTAGTATGCGCTCATTCATTAAGCAACATCCACCGTTATAATTCTGTGCAAATGTATTAGGCTCTATTTATTTGTATTTCATGTGGTATATTTGATGTGGCATTACGTGAAGATTTAGCAATCTCGTATGCTATTTTGTTTTAGTTTCATACGCTTGCATAGGTGAAATGCATGCGACAAAGAGATAATTTTGCAGTTTTTTTGTCAATCATTACTCAATTATGTGCCACGAAAATTTTCTAATTCATAGTGTTGCTAATGTCATTAAAAACTAATTTTTTCGTACCAGCTTTGTATCGTGTTTTTCCAAACAGCTCACAGAGCGTTTTAGAATTTTTTTTGCAGTAATCAATTGCCAACTCATGTTAGGCTCATCACACAATTTTGAGGCCTTTAGGTACAGAACAAATGATTTGGATTTAGAAGATGGCAAGGGTTTAGAGAATGCATTGCCAGAATTCTTTCAATAATTCCATAATTTTCTTTTCCATAATTGCTGTAACGAAATCTATGCAGATGGATTTGCACTAAGATTTCATCATTCTATAATACGAATACCGACCTCTCTTAGTGTAATCTGATCGCATAAAGAAGTGTGTAGAGAACTGCGTTCGTAAAGCTCAGTGAGTTTGCGGCCATTGCACACGCAGGATGCCACAAGTCCTTGAAGCAGTCAGACAACCTCGTACCAGTGGCGGTCCCAGGATTTCAGCCCGAGGGGGGGGGGCGGCAAAGATTTTCTTCGGATGAAGGTGCTTGGCGTTGACCACGCACTCCGAAAAATTTTTTTGGGTGTTTCTCGAAATTTTTGCGAGTCCATATTCCCTTAAACCTAGAAAAAGACTAAGGCTTACAAGGCTAATTTGAATTTTTAAAAAATTTAAAAAATTATCTAAATTATTTATAAAAATAAACAAGTCATTTGCACATTTTTATAACCCTTGTAGGTAAACTTCAAAGATTTCGCGACCCGTTCTTGAGAGGGAGGGGCCCCCTTCCCGCAGCCCTCCCCCCTCCCCTACTTCCCCTCGATCCGCCACTGCCCCGTAGTTTAAAAATCGCTTCAAGTAATTAAAAATTGATATTTGATGGCAGAACGATACTCGATTTTTCTGAGATAATATGTAACACTACACTGTTTTTGAACGCTGGTTCCGAATCTGACCTCCGTTTATACTAATCGTTTTTCTGAAAGAAGTTATGAAGGATTTTCGAGCCAAGTATGGTGGCCCGAGGGAAGAGTCGGAACGCCATTTTTCCATGTACGCTGTGATGTAGTGGTTAGTGCGATGGTTTCACAAGTTGATGCTGGTGTATGCTCGAATCCTTTCGTGTTTTTGTTTTGCATTGCCTTAATTGAGCTTCTTTTTGAAAGTAAGGCATCCTCGAGGAACAGTACTGCTTTTCGCGTGACTTCCTCGGTCAATGCGAAAAAGACAACTGCAGCAACTTGATCTTTACCCGATGCGCTCATTATGAGCCACCCCTTGATTTTGATCACTTTGTCATCGTGTCCATCACTGTGTTTGACATGCATTCATTTCCATCCATTTTCATTCTTATAAGCACTTTTTAGAATAAATATAGGAAATCATACAATGATTTCATGTTAATTTTGAAAGGGTGGGGACATAAATTTACCTCGAGGATGCCCAACTTCTAAATAGAAACTGATTGAAGCAATGCTAAACTGAAAAACACAAGAAGACTTATAACTACACTTGCATCAGCTTGCGAGGCTATCCATTAGCCACGCAGAGCCACTGTACCACAGTACAAGAGGAAGCAGCGTCCCGTAATTCCCCTGAGCGACCATACTTAGCGCGAAAATTTTTTATATTTTCTCACAAGGGAAGTGTCAGAACTCGCAGTGGCCTTTTGACATGAAATGGGTATCATCTGAAGCAGCTTGAAATGCTGATTCCAAAACAGCCTTTCTTAGCTGTAGAACTAATCTAGGACGAGAGTTATTGAATTTAATTTGCGGGAAATTTACAACGCTGAGAATAGCCAAAAATTAAAGCGAACATTTTTTTGGGCTCAAACATAGATGAAACAGTCCATCAATGTTCAACGTAATTCTATGTCTTCATCAAAGTCATGCTGTGATGCTTAAACAAGCATTTGAAAGGTTCCCGTGATCACAGAGTACTTCAAACAATGTAGAATTTAATGTTTAAAATGCCCATAACTCGCGACCCAGATCAGTTCTGCAGCTAAGAGAGTTTGTTTTGGAATCAGCATTTCAAGCTGCTTAAGATGGTACCCATCCCATGTCAAAAGGCCACTGCGACTTCTGACACTTCCCTTGTCAGAAAAACCATTAGCAAAAAAGAAAGTTAGATCCGGAATCACGCTCCAAGACGAGTGTAATGGTATGAGTCTTATCTCAGGAAGCCGCGGACGCTGAATATCCCTCTGTGAGAAACCTGAGTGCGCGCGCAATGGCTGCAAATTCATCGACAACGATCACGCAGAGCCCTATAGAGCATTCAGTTGAGCGCATAGTGTTCGTCTATAAATCTTTTGAGTATATGTTTGTCCCATTAGTGAGAAACTCAGTATAGCAACGTATTTCTAAAAAAAATATTAGACAAGGAACTCCTCTTTGGACGAAAATACTCAACCAGAACCCTTTTCAATTTATACGGCATTTCGGACTGTAACTTTATAAGTTAATATAGATAGGGAAACCATTCCGCACAGTGTTATCTTTTTAAGCTATGTCTATCTTGATTTTTTTTCATGATTTTCATATCTGTCGACCTTTTCTTCTCAAGCCAAAGCGAGCTTAGTTTGCCCAAACCAAATGTTTCTCCTCCTTTAGTTTTCACATGTAAAGTTGTACACCTGGAACTGCAAATTAATTCGTAAAACCTTACTGCTTGTTTCACCATACTAGAAAGTATCTAGAACATTTCTTGTGAGCGAGATGTCGCAAAATATTAGGTTGTCCCAAAAGTTCTGTCGGTTTTTTCATACGACTATAAAACCACGCACAATAAAGAGCTAAATGAGTTTCAACATGCATTCAGTGCAACTTCTCCTTCTCCTTCTTATGGATACATTTTCGAACCCAATCCTACACGCGTTTTTCTATAGATGCCAAAATTCTTTACCCGTCAATTTTCTCTGTTCAAAGTTCGGCTTTTCTTCAAAATTTTCACTCCATTTTCGGCAAGGGTTAAGCATGGTGCAAATGAAGCAAATCTCGTACTATATGGCAACGTTTTTACGTCCCCTATGCTGTTTTTGGCTTCAAAAAGTTATTTTTCCGAAGGTCTCTATTTTTGGCAAAGTCATGAAACACGCATCTGCAGCAAAAACATGAAAGCTTTAGTAGTTTCTGCGAACTCAAACTCAAATTTCATTAAACATTATTGATACCTAGGTCGCCTATGAATTGGTGTTCGTGAGTTTCAGTGATCGTTGAAAAAACCGACAAAACTTTAGGGACAACCTAATATAATAAACATATCCTCGCCCGCTTGTGCCTAGTAGTTTTTACGTACTTTCTGGATATAAATCAATCGCATTTATCGCCTCTGCAAATCTTAAGCGTGCATTGCTTGATTACAAAACTAATTATGATTTTAAGTTTATAATCAGGTTTGGATTAGACCAGCCCTCGTATCCTCAAAGACCACGTTTCCTCATGGACGAGTCACAGTCGAGCCGAACGAGCCCTGCTCGCCGTCTTTCCATGGATAGCACAACTACTAGTGAATTTGAAGTTGTCTCTCGCGAACGTTCCCCTTCGGGAAGTACTGTTGAAGGTTTGCTTTAACTCCGGCATGTTGCTATCAGTACACCTAGATTTGGTGCTCACACAAATCTGGGTACCTGGGTTACGTGGAAACCGAATGGGAGGGCATAACGAAGCCATTGCGCAAGCCGCAGCTCATATGACGCAAGTGAAAATTTGATTCATTCGAAGTCTTGCTCAGTACCGTACTTTCTTTTCCTTTAGCGAACCAATCTGCGTACTCACTACCGTGCTGGGTGAGAATTCAGAGTTGATTTCTCTACTACGAATGAATCCACAAAAGTTGTCGCTCGGATACTGGCTTAATTGAGCATTAGTATGAGTTCCGCATGAGAAATTCAGATATCACAATTACCTGGACACTTTGAGGTGACCAAAAAATTGGATCCATAATCTGCTAAAACTTGCAGAACCTCATCTCTTTTGAAACGGGTATAACTGAATAGATCATTTGATTCAAAAAAGTAGCAGAATCAGTTAATGGAGCTTTAACCACGCGATTTGCAGTTTTGCGTACGTTGATTATTTCGTATTGCAGTCAAGTGAGGAAATTTTTCAGAAAGTGGACCGTCGAGTCACTCCAGAACTCTCAACTTTTGCTAGTCATACAAGACTCATCACAGAAACCTAGCAAATACTTCAGATGTTAAATTGTAAGAGACTGCCTGCAAACCAATGGCAGTTCCTTACGAATCGCGGCAGGGGAGGTATCAAAAATTTAGGAAAAGCTTTACAATATGACTTTTGCATAACTACAAAAAGTCGATTCACGTAAATTTTGAAAACGAAATCTAAATACTTAGATACCTGAATATCAAATCACTGTTTAAAAATACGCTGCGAATCTCCGACTTGGTCACATATACTTCCCACATTAGACATTCACATGTGCACTTACCGCATCTTTTGATGGCTAAAATTTAAAACAAAAATTTGTAAAAAAAATGCGACAGTGTTGGCTTTTTGGTTATTTTATATTGAGTTTGATATTGCTCAAAGATTAACTTGCAAAAGGTTAAAATTCTAAGGCCATACTTCCAAGAGATCTTTCCCTTGTTTTATGCTAAACGAGATCACTATGTGGTTATGTGCATGAGTGTTTTAGCGTGGGGTTACTTCAGAGAAAGGCTTGCTGTTTTGAATTACCGTGAAGATCAGGGCTCGGCACAGGTGGCTTACAAGCAAGCTGGATATCGTTTTTGGGACGAAAAGCAAAGGGGGTTTTGTTTCTGTGGGCGAAGATATACGCAAAATTGACGACGGCGACCTTTTTTTTTTAGTCGACGTTTCGTTTTTTGGGGGATTTTCGGGAATTTTTCAGGTTTTTAGAAGAAATTTGGTTAAAGGTCAAAGGGGACTTCGTAAAAATTCCCAAAAGTCAAGGGGGACTTCGTTTTTTCCAATTTCATCTAGCCACCTCGTGCCGAGCCCTGGTGAAGATAGTAAAAGGCTGAAAGGTTTATTCATACTTGAGTGAGCTTAGCATATTAACTTTTGATCACCTTGAAGGATGTCTCGGCAAGTTTAAAGTTCATAAATTTTGAGCAATACTCCGGTACACTCGCCGCTAACCTTTTTGCTTCATTGTGGTTCAGTGGAGCGACCCCTGTTGAATTTATTCTGAAGCTCGAGTTGGAGCGAATTATTAGGTCGACCCGAAAGTTCTTTCGCACCAAATTTAAAAATTCATAACTAGTTGAATTCTCAACGAATTTACAAGGTCTAAATTTTATGTGAGAGAAACTCATGCTCTTTGCAACTCTACTTGAACTGTTCGTTGATGTGCACAAATGAAGGAGATAGAAGCTCAAAACCAAAATCACTCAAAATTTGAATTTTTCGTATAGGTTCATAAAAAAGTCGGAGACTTGCAACAAAAATCGGAGCAGTCGATATTGTAGGTTCTTTTATTCGCTCTTTCTAACAGTGCAAAGTTTGCGCCGATTGAGCGTCTCTATGAAAAGTTATGAAAAGTTATGATTTTTGAGCAAGCAATACAAAAGGGCGAACTTGATTTATTTTGGCATTTTTTAGGGAATTCATAACTTTTCACAAAGACGCTCAATCGGCGCAAACTTTGCACTCTTGGAAAGAGCTCGTGAAAGAGCCTACAATACTGACTGCTCCGATTTTTGTTGCAAGTTTCCGATTTTTTATGACCCTACACGAAAAATACAAATTTTGAGTGATTTTGGTTTTGAGCTTCTATCTCGTTCATTTGTACACATTAAGGAGCAGTTCTAGGGTTGCAAAGAGCATGAGTTCCTCTCTTACACAAAATTTAGATCTTGCAAATTCGTTGAGAATTCAACAAGTTATGAATTTTTGAATTTGGTGCGAAAGAACTTTCGGGACGACCTAATATATTGATGGAAACAGCTTTCACGGGCAAGTTTTTCTCCGGCTTTGGACATACTTCGCGCGATTTGGCAATGCGTCTTTAGTTCAAAGTTGAAGCTGAGAAAGCCCGTTGACGACTTCGTTGTTAAACTAGTGGTTGATACTCAAAACCAGATAATTTTTATCCCAAAAATTGTTTAAAACTGGTCTGCGCCCTCCACGATTTTCAACACCGAAACACATACAATTTATATCCTTTCTAGAAACGAGGAATTAGCAGAGCCGATGACAACTTATCCCAGCAATCGTTTTTTTTTCATGAAATGACTATGCTTTCAGTTACTTTGCTATGGACGAAGAAAAAAAATCATATGTAACTCTTATCTCACATTATATTGCTCAACTCCAAAGCATAGGACGAGACGGTTTTGATTTAATCATCGCGTCTTGAGTCTTGGAGAAGAACAAATGATAAGGCACAGCTTCCAAAGTTACATCTTGGCGCCGTCCCACGCTAAAACAGAGCTGAACCCGCTAACAAGGCGCTGTCGCAGCGAATTTAGCAATCACTCAGTCAAAGGCCCAATGATAGATTAGATCAAATTCAACCTACCATATATCTGTGTTCCACTGTTTCTTAGCGAATTTACTTATGCATGTATACTTGTTTTGCAGGAGATGTTCATCTTGATAACGTGTCACTGACTGAAGCATCTTCGCCAAATGAATCCATAAATGTTCCGACTCTGTATTCCGAGTCTACACACGGCGATCAAGATTTGCCACCATTAGGTGAAAGTATTCAGATGGACATGGAAGCTATCAATGTTATGTCGCTTCCTCAGCCATCTTGGCGGATCAACGATGACCTGCTATCTCTGACTACGTCCGCATCTCAGATGTCAGGTGCCCCAAACAAATAATCTTGTTAGCCTTTTCTGGAAATTCTTTGTTCACATTCAGTTGCTGACAGTTCAGAAGCCCGCTTTAACGATGACATGAGAGAAACTGTAGGAATGCTCGAGCAGGTATTTCATCAGCTGGCCGAGATTAAAGGCCGCAATAACTTGGTGTGTAGATATAGATATTACTAATACTAGTTTGTAAAAAAAAGCATTGGTACTGAGAATACGAATTTTAGCTTGAGAAGACAGTGGAACAAGCAAACGAGTGGAGAAATAGAGCGGATAAGTTAGAGGAGCAAAATAAAATCCTTCAGAAGTCATTACGATCTTCTAAAAATAAAGTAGGCAGTTGTTCTCCACCCCTGCTTTTACTCGTAGCAACACTGCAGTGAGAATGCTTTCAGGTGGAGCAGTTCACGCGTGAGGTTGAAGAGCTGAAACACAGAGAGGAGAAGTTGTCAACAAGCCTTAGAGAAGTTGAGGTAAGTCTACCCAAATTCTTTCAGCCAATCTAAGGAGTTCAGGATCACCAAACCCAAAAGTCCACTTCTTACTGGTACTGTCGTGCCATTGCAGTATGTATCGTAGCCGTTGCTGTTATACTTTATATGGATTGCTATGCACAGGCAAATTTTGTCAAAATGCTTTATCAAAAAACTTTTAGAATTGTTTCAGCTTTTGAAAGAGCAGCGATCATGCCAGCAGTTGAAAGAGAAATTACAATTAATGAATGAACTAGTCGATAAATTAGAGGCAGAACATGCCGCAGAGGTAACGTTTGTCACCCTTCTTCCTACATTTATTGATTTAAAATATACAACATTGTAAGATTTATGCAAAAGCGCAATGATCGCCTGAGTCTGCTGACATTAGCGTCGCAACGCCATATCTGGCTTTGGAGTAGAGCAACGGTTTTTATCTGGACGCATCGCAACTCTGATATTTGGGTTTAGTTTAGCTAGTCATGTTTCACTTTCGCGTACAGTAGGAAAAAGTACAGTAAAAATTAGCACAATGAATAACTCACAGCGCGAGCAAAAGTCAAAAAATTGGACAGCAACCATGAATTTACCGTATTTAGACAGACACTTCTACACACTCCATACTTCTCCATTCTAAAGGAAGCGAGATATGACAATACTACGCCAAAGTCACCCGGCTTGCAAATCGTCGCGCTTTTTTGCACGATTTATGAAAGGCTCTATCAGTCGTTCCTTTTCTATCGATGATAGAAATTTCTTGCTAAAGAATAATTTTTGTCCATTCTTGAGCAGTTAATTTAGCAATCCTTATTCCAGTACAAGCGTCGTTTAGAAGAGATTTCGAAGCAAATGGCTGATGATATGAGCGCTAGCATCTCTGAAGCCCATAAACAGGTCTTTGCTTAAGAATCATATAAATACTTCTGCAGGGTAAACGAAACTCATAAAGAGGAAAATCTGTTTTCAGCGTGAACTTGAGCACGAGCGGCTGCTTGAAGCATATCGCGAGAAAATGATTTTACACGATGATCTTAGCGCCTTGCGAAAAGAGGTATGTCAATTTTGATACCGTGTTTGGAAAAGTAAGGCTTTTATAGAAGTTCCATGGAAAGAAGAAGTCTTCTACTTGGTACCGCTAAGAAGATAATCAGCTCCCTGCTAATAATCTTAATGATGTACACATGAGTAGTATTTCCTCGCTGTAGAGTTCTATAATGTCGTTTTCATTTCCAACATACAGGTTTCATGTTCGGGATATGTGCCTTCTCAAGCTGTACAGACAGTCGGGTTACAATAAATGAACTCTTTGTGTTTAGCTTTGTGCTTACTCTCGTTTTTATTCATTTATTTATTTGTGCATAGGGACGCTGTTATGAAAAAGAAACCAAACAACGAAAAAAGTGTTAATGTGGTTTCAGGTAAGCTCTCAAAACCTTTTTGAACATTGCGAGTTCAGCCACGAACACTCTCTTCCTCGAAAGTATGTCTACATCATGCGAAACTCGACACATGAAAAAGTTCTAACGTTCTGCTTAGCCTTTAGTAATACAAGTTTTCTAAGTTCACCTCTAGTCTTAGAAGATCTAGTCACAAAAAAGTTTCTTGAGTCGAGCTTTATGTTCCAAATATTATTTTTGTAAACCAGGCGTAATAAGATCAAATTTGTTTCGTTTATAAGCAAGACTTGGTAGCCCAAGATCCGCATTGCGGACTTGTCTGCATAGTATCTCATACTAGGTCATTTCAAAAGTAATTTCTTTTTTTTGCAAATGGACGTCACATTTGATGGAACAAAGATTTCAAAGAGATCTTGGTAGCATTCGATACAGCATTTCCTTCTCTTTCTAATAGTACAGGGTGTTTGAAAAGTTCATGCCCTTAAGCACTTCAACTGCGAACGCTAACTCGATTTTTGCTATGTGTGTTCGCCAAACCTAGAAACCACTGAATCAACAAAAAAATATTTTTTACCTCAAGATACCCTAAAAAATTTGGAAGTAAAGAATGTTTTAAGCTTTCTTGGAGAGTGCGTTATCTGATTTATTCTTTCTTTTTCAGCGCCGGAAAAGGGAAACAGCTTTTGGTTTTTTTAGCTCAAATAGTACTAGTTTTGTACTTTCCTTATATAACAAAAGTTCTTCAGTAGCTTGCTAACGAAGATTTTTCTATGCGCTGAATCACAGCGCAGTCGCGGCACCAGCTTTTGATATTTTTTCAGTTTGAAAAAATTTTGGAAGTTTTATTTTAATATGTACATGTAGCACAACCCTCTGACCTTCGTTATGCTTGTTTTCAAAAACTTTGCACGCTTGCAAAGGTTATGAAGAGATAAAATATAAAAATTTTGGTGCTGGACTTTATGAAGAAAAAATCCTAAAAGTGAATCTCTTGTCTTTCAAAGGCACGATATTTCAAAACGAGCTTACTTCTACAAAAGTAAAAGCAAAATTAAAGGCAGTGGATCGGCAAAATCTAGCAACTCGGGATTTCAACGCGGTAGATTCCTTAACCCCCAACTATGGAAACAGTGCAATCCCGGTTGCACAGCATGCTTTCCCTGCCGAGAAAATCGCTCTCGGACTTACACGCGCTGGCCAATCTTACACGCATCTGGACGAGTTCTCAATTTCCTTCTCACCAATGGAGGCTGCCCGCCGCAACGCTATAACCATTGGGTCCTGCCACGATTTGGCGTCATCGGCCTTGCTTCACTCGTCCGCTATCAAAGGGAAGGGCATTAAAAACGCTCATTTTCGCCGTTTTCAAGCTTTCAAAAGCGGGTTTTCGGGATCAGCGTATTGAAAAACCCCAGGTAAGCGCAAATTTGACTATGTTGAGATTTGCCGAGCCACTGCCTTTAAGAAACCTCAAAGAAAGGGTTTTCAGGAGGTATACCAAGTTTTTTGTAATTTATGTTTCTTTTTTTGTAAGAAGCGTTTCAGTGAAAGAGGTTTGGAAAGCTATGCTGATGTATTTCAATCTAATAAAAATCAAAAAAACCGCGAAGAAACTTGATTTTACTGAAATTATGATATTTAGGCCCCACCAAAACCATTGGATTTTAGTAGGCTCACGTCAGCCACAATCGCACCAAATACCAGTAATTACTCGGAACTTGAAACTTCCAAAATTCTATATGACTTAATATTGGTTTTACAAAGCGAATGAAAGTTTACGGGTTTAAAATATTAAATTTCGAGTTTTTCGGGTACAGTCTTGGGCGCCTTCAAGAACATGAGTTATGATGATTTTATCTCCGAAGACTGAACGAATCGGAATAAAAAAATACCCGTTAGAGAGACGAGAACAAGCTGCATCGAATGACACCCAAGCTGCTCACCGTTTGATGTTCTACGTGGTTTGAGTTGACCAAGAATGGAAATTGTGGCATCAATTAAAATTCTAGTAAAAACATATGACGAGCTATGGAGAAAGGAGAAAAATTGTTTTGTATCCTACAGGGTTCGCTCTATCCACTCGCTACTTGGGTTCCTTCAGAGGATTGATACAAAGACTTTGAAAAATAGCTAAAGCTGACCATAGCAAAAAGCATCGGTCGCAGAATCTGAAGATTTTTGTAGAGCTTACTGACTGTGTTGCAAAGATTTTACAAGCATTAGAAAGAGGATGAATTTTTGCATTGAATGTCAACAAGGTCTCTCAGAAAGCTTTGTTCCTTCAGATGTGGCGCCAATTTGAAAAAGCGAAGTTATTTTGGGAATGACCTAATAGATAAAATTGAATGTCTGTTTGTCTGTCTGTATGTCTGTATGTCTATATGTACTAGATTGTTTCAAAAGTTCTGTCCGATTTGCAATTTTCTGATTCAAATTATAACTCTTTTCAAAATCAACATTTTTTAACAAATCAAATGTTGCTAGTTATGCGAGATCATGGCTGTCACATAAATATTAGGTTGTCCCGAAAGTTTTGTCGGTTTTTTCAAACCACTGTAAAACCGCGCACAATGAAGATTTGAGTGACTTTCAACATGCATTCGATGCAGCTTTTCATTCTCTTTCTGATGGATACACTTTCATACCATAGTCTTGTATGCTTTCTTTGATAATTGCCAAAATTCTCCACCTGTCAATTTTACCTGCTCAAAGTTGAGCTAATTTTCAAAAATTTCATTACAAAGTTTCGAAAAAGACTAAGCATGTATCAAATAGACCAACTCTCGGGCTATAAGCTCATGTTTTTAGATTCTCCTAATCTGCTGATTTTAACTTCAAAAAATCATTTCTCCGGAGGCCTTGGTTTTTAGCAAAGTCATGAAACGCGCAATTGCAGCAAAAGCATGAAAGCTTTTGAGTTTTTGCGAATTCAAACTTGTTTGTTATTTAACATCATTTATGCAACATAACCAAGTTTGATTTGCTTCAAAAATCAGCTTTTTGTAATTTTCGGTAATTTTACGTGATAAAACGTGTTCAAAAAGCCGCGGTTTTTCTCAAATAAATAATTATTACGGACATTATAAACGTGGCCCACGTAATCTAAAATAGGTACAATGTAGCCAGATGTTTGTCCTACATAACAGTCACCAGCGCTCATCGAAAATATCAAGATAAAAATTTTGAAAATTCAAGAAAGTTTTGGCGCTACCGCTGAGGTGCTCAAAAAACCATGGCGATAACATCGTAAAGACGGGCTAGATTAGGGAACAAATATAGCCATAAGAAAGAGGATGCAAAAATGAATAGAATGACACCTAGGACGTCTATGGATTGGTGTTCTGTGAGGTTTAGTGAGCGATGAAAAAAACCGACAAAACTTTCGGGACAACCTAATAGTATGCCATGCAAAAAAGTCAAGTGAAGGGTAAGAGGAAATCGAGAGAATTTTGCAAGATTTCCTTCAAGACCGTCTACTTTGACTACTAATGCTTCTATAGGAAAATTGGCAGACATTTTTGGCATCATTGAGTAACCTATTCTACAAAGATTCTTTTGTGACTAAAGAGCATTCGAGATCTTTGCTTCACAGAAATTTTTTCGAGCAAATTAAAAAAAAACCCATTATTTGAGCCTTCCTCCGCGCGCGCAAATATGTCGACTCGATATTTCCTTGCTGTCGCGAATGAAAAGATTTAATTGGCTGGTGGTCCATTTTTGCTCTCGCTTTGCTCTATCATAAGCAATCTTGAATACATCTCTATTCGCTATTCGTAGATTGCTGTCGCTTGTTAAATAATTGGCTTCTGTTCAAATTTTGGAAGAAGAATTCGATAAGTAAGACATTTTCTACATGGGAGAAAAAATGTGCATAAAATAGCCCATTACATCCATAACCATTATAAAATGTTAAATAGGTGACTTTACTAGCACTGCCAAAGTTCTCGCTGTAGAAACTTATTTTAGCATAACTGCATTCTGGTACCTTAACTTCAAGGCTTGTAAGATTCCTTGCTGGAAAGCTATTTCGTCAAGATTTGGCAAGCACAAAGAGCGAAAAAGATGCTTCTAGATAGTACCCATAATAACACGACAAGGGCAAAATTCTAAGAAAATAGCTGCATTAAAACAAGGAAACTGAAAATCAGACAGAACTTTTGCAGCCTAGTATGTCTGTCTGTACGTATGTTCCGAAAAGAAAATTTTATTTCTGAAAAGATCCGGACCAAACTTTGCACACATACACTTAAGGGCAAGGCGGGTGTCATTGGCTACTTTTCGTTATCGAGCGATATCGATTTTAAATTTTTATCGATGTTTTGCAAAGTTCGACCTGCGGGGCTGGGAGTTGGCACAGGGGGTAATCGAGCATGCTGATTCCTAAAACAGCGGGAATAGGGAAATGGCACGTAGACGTGGGCACAGGGAAGGGTGATACAGGAATACGGATAAGAGCTTTATCATAATTTTTTGACAGGGCGGGCGAAGCCGGGTAAGTCAGCTAGTTTGATCATAAACAGGGTCAAGCAAGGGGTGTGGCACACGATCGCTGGTTACGACCCCCCCCCCCCTCCCCCTGATTGCTGTCTTAATAAGACCCCCCCCCCCTCCCCCTATATACCTAAGATAGCATTACCATACCTAAGATAGCATTACCAGAGTTGAGAAAGAGGTCAGGCACAAGTGGGTAGGGGAACGAAAGCCGCCAGTTTGAGCCGCCTTTCGCGGCCAACTGGTCCTTTCGCAGTTTGTTGCATGTCGTTCCAGGACCAGCAGTCCGCGGAGGCGGCCCAAACTGGCGGCTTTCGTTCCCCCATCCGGCACAAGTCTTTCGAAAACAACCCCCCCCCTCCCATGAAAGCCCTCAAACGACCCCTTCTTCCTCCTCTTAACCTCTGGACCTCAAAGTGTGACATTCTGAAGGACACCAGCTTTTTCTAGAGAGTTTTCAGATGGTGTACGCCCGATTTTCTGTGACTGCACTTTACAATCACACGTAATTTGACGGCTGTTTTTGACCTGAATGGGCATATTAAAAGGGCCATAATTTTCTTAAGGGTGAGGCGTTCGGCTCCAAATTTCCAGTGTAGCAAGAAGAAGCTATGTGCTCAATACTCATACCAGCAATGGAGCGCTTCCTTGATTTTGAAGGCAAGTTAATTGGGTGCGGCACACCCCTTGAAAGCTGCAGCAGCCGCAGCTTTTAGGGGGGTTGTGCCGCACCCCATTAACTATATCAAAAAAACATTTTTAGCGGACAGTATTTATATGAATCGATAGCCTAAACCTTGTAGATTCCATAGGACTCTTTGGGGCCCGATTCGTCTTCTTAGCTCTAAGTAATATTTGATGAAAGCACAGCGATCAAAAGCGAAAAATGGGAAAAACAAGATTTTGGTTGGCTTCTAATTCTTCAGTTTGGAGGTCGTCTGAAGCGAGATTCCTGAGGTGGACAAAGAAGGAGTAGTGCCTTGTCTTGAGTGCAAAAACGGATAGCTAATTCATCTTTGAAACAAAGTTAACCATGTTGGAATTTAACCATTTCATTTAGGTAGCCTAGTATCTTGAATCTTCAGAATTCGTTCACACTTTGTCTACAGGGCTTATTTGACATGCTTATTATGGATAGGATACGAATATCATGTTATCATTATTATCAGATTACCCAACTACGACCCCCTCCCCTTTTGACTCCTCAATACGACACCAGGTGTGGCGTGCCGCACTCCACGCTTGACCCTGATCATAAATGAAACCAACCGTCCTAATCAACAACTTGTGAAACAGTCTTGCTGGTCTCGACTGATCCGGAAAGCCTCCTACGGTTGCGCCGGGTCGTATTAGCAAGGTAAGACGCAGCATCAACTGCTGTGCGCTACGTGGCAGGCCCTCTCGTTCCTTAGTCTTTCTCGGTTAGTATCTCTCGCCCTGCTTGAGGTGCGAAAAGACGCTAGCGCAAATCAAGCATAAAACGATAAAGCCAGTGCGAACTGAACTGCAAACAAATGTGGAAAATTGATGATTATGAGACATGGCCGATAATAGCAAATCAAGCATCGCATGCCAACCAATCTCTGAAACACAAGGATCAACATCTTTTATCGTAGTTATGCGTGGCACAATTGCTGGATTTACTTGTCTTGAACAATGTTCAAAGGCTATGTACATATAACGTTTTTCGAAACCTGAGTTTAGAATAATTAGTTAACATAAACATGCTTTGAACTTTGGCGGTCAATTGAATGCTGAAAGAATTTCCGCAAAATTCGTCAGGGAGTAGGATTATAAATATAAATAATTTATAATAATATTATAAATAGGAATTTGAGATTATTGAACCAAGAGTTTCTTAATCTTTTCTTTATAACGTCTTGCTATGGAAACAAATAATAGAAAAAGTCATTAAGTATTGTGTTTGCCAACCAGATTGAAAGAAAAAAATAAAATTATTATTATATGCACCAGACCAACCAACCATTTTGCGACGATATCGTCCACTCAGCATAGTGGACCAATCTCAAACCGGAAAAGACATTGAAAAACCTTGCCTGCGCCACCACACAGCAGAGGAATCATCAAAACGGAAGCTTTGCAAAAAAATAGCGTTCCGCAAAGATTTTCAAGCTCTCAGATTTGTGTGGAGGTGGGTTGCGGTTTTCCCTGATTTTAATGATAAAGTCAACGAGAGAGTACGAAAAACATTGCTTCATGGAACTTTGTTCTACGAAATCGGTAACTACCGTAAAAAATAGCATAAAAATTAATGAAAGACAAAATGCTTTATCACTTTTTTGCTTAAAGAAACGACTCCACAGCGCAAGGTAAAATGAATATTCGATAATGACACGATTACTCCAGCATTGTAAAACCTGCAATGTTTTACTTACGGAAAGAAGAGGACCTTGGAAACAAAAGAGTGGTGGCAAAAGAATTGAAAAGCCTAGTATTTTGTGCCAATAGGCTCTCGCGATGCTCCAAGGACAAAATCCGACACGGTGCGCTTCAGCTGCAATAGCGGCAACCGGCGCGGTCCCGGCGCGGTCTGGAGGCTCCCTTACTGCAAGCGGTTGTCCGGATATCAATTGATACACACCAGGTCATGGTAAAGCCTTTTCATTGTAATACCTTGTTTTTAAAGCGTGTGCTCGTCTCAGTTCTCGTTTATACGCTTGCGTAGCATATCTAATATCTGCTGAAAGCCAATATCTCGTTTGGCGATAGTGCAAGTGAAATATTTACCAACAAGGCGAACTTGTTTTTGGACCGGGGAGCGCAACCTCTACTACATTCGGGGGCTCCTCATATAGATTGTAAGGCGGGCTGACCCGTGCACAATAAAGTTTGTAGGATTTACATAAATAGAGGATGTCGCAAATTGGCCCGGCTTCTGGAATAGGCGCCACTCATTGGTGAGTGATTCGGCACTGAATATAAGCGGTTGGAGAGTACAGCCTGTGGGATAACTATAAGCTATTAGGATACAAAGTTGTTGAGATTGATGATACGTAAAATATCAACATATGATACCTCTTTACTTCATTCGTTTGCTTCTCTCTACTTCAGGCACGCTGTCTTCATGAAAAGAATAAAAACAAAGTTAGCGGTCTTACAGATGTTTTGCTTTAGACGCTGTTATTCTTCTCAAGGACGCCAACAGGACGGCTGAGTCAATCTGCAGTCAATTTGGAGTCAAGGCGATCTTTCTGAGTTTACTTAGGTTTTGGGTTGTATTGTCATCATGGAGACTTCCTTTGTCAAAAATACGATCCGTGCTGGGCTTTGATTCTAACTAATCTTTTAACACAGAAGCGTTCATAATTCAGCGCAAAGGAGCTTGGCAGAATTTTTGTTTGGGGTACTTGATGAGTGGAGGTCTACTAGAGTTCCATGATTTTCAGTTTTGAAGACAAGAAAAACCCGTAAACCTTTTCGACGAGAACCTAGACCAACTAAATTTACAGCTTTTCAAAGCAGAGAACTTTGTAACTTCTCTAAATGAAGCGCTAGAACAACAGGAGTATCATTGAAACAGCTTTGTTCTTTGCCTTCAGAAAAGATATGCATTTTAATCGGCTGTCTTGAGACAATCAATAACGAGCGACGTCATTGTTCCTTTCCTTTTTGTCAAAGTCAGAAGATATCTTTTTCCGACTATTAAGAAAGTGAGTTCTCAAATGTACTGAAACTTTTGAGCCAAATGAAAAAGGAAGGAACCGTAAAGTGGACTTTCTTTGAATCTCGGCATGAAGAATATTGTGTTGACTCAATTGTTGAGCCACGTCCAGATTGGTAACAATATTTATTAGGCTAACTTCCGGCTATGTCGTCTTCTTTATAGCCTGAAATGGGCGACAACAATCCATAAACTATCCGACAAAGCATCTGCCATAAACTATCCGACAAAGCATCACAAGCAAAATTTCAAGCTTTCTTTCAAACTAAAAGCAAGCTGCCACACGCGATACTCACCTTTTCGATTGCCAATGGAATTCTCAAGTATAAACGAGCGCTGACTGATCGCGTGTGAATGATTAAACATGTCTGCACCGGATTAGAAAATCTGACCTAGATATGGTGCGAATTCGCGAGTAATAGAAAGAGCCTCTTCCTTGCAATTCATTTTAGGGTGTTTGAAATGAATCCATAACGCTTCTAATGTTTTGCGAGTAGATGTTTGAAGTTTACGCGCAACGTTCGCTTCAAAATTCACTCCTTGATGTTCTTGCACTCTGTGGTCGCACAGTGAAGTGGATGGGCGTAATCTTTCCTTGTGTTGAGATGTTCTTTGATGCGTACGCATAGTGGTCGCGCCGTTTCCCCGATATACTCGTCACCGCAATTTTTGCATGAAATGAGGTAGACAACCCCTGTACTCATACAGTCTCCATCCGTTGCTGTGGGACATATCAGACGGTTTGGCGTAGTGTAAACTGCGGTCGTACATGCGATTCCGAACAAGAATGCGTTTCAAATTGTTCGGGGCATGTCTACTACCAAGACAGAATTGACCAATCGACAACAATCCAACAGATTGGATTGTTGTGCCCATTTCAGGCTCTGAAGAAGACGACATAGCCAAAACGTTAGCCCAATAAATATTGCTACCAATCTCGAAAAAGGAAGGATTTGGCGAATAATGCCAATCTTTCATAAAAATTACTTCAATCCGATAAGAATGCTTTATCTTGATTGTCAGTGAATTGTGGACTTATGCCAACAAAGACAGGTTTGGAATCAGCATTCAATAGTCTTTGATTGTTCGATGACCATCCATGATTATCGCTGCTGAAGACTTTAGACGTGGTACAAATGCCATGATTTCCTGAATTATAATGTTATTTTATCTAAATTCAAAACACTTTATCTGGAGCTTTATCATCTTCAAGTTGAGAGAGGAGATGTAATTCTGCGTTGGATTACAACTCTGCATTTATAAAAGTTGGCAAAAACTAAAATGACGTTTGCCTCCTATCACAAACGTCGGTGATATGCGTTTTATGCAATGCACTAAACCATGGAAACTTTTTAATCTTAGACCTTGACCATTGAATTGAGCAGGAGGCAAAACCCACAAAATAGCCGATCGCACTGTCATCCGGTGATTCTGCGAGAGTCGTGATTTTCTACCGGTAATGCTGTTGTCTACATCCTCCCGAAACAGCGTAAATGGTAATGGAGATGTCACAAGTTGAATTACTGTTACTCCATGCAGAATTAATTCTAACATTATCTAGAAACGACTGTCACCTTTTTGTGCTCAATGATCCCTTTTCAAATGAGCAATTGTTCCCTTTCACAAATGACAAATTTCACATTTTTCAGCAATTGTTCCCTATTGAAATAAGCAATTGTTCTCTTTCTTTTACTTTTTTTCCTTTTATTTATTCGGTAGGCAGCACATTTGCCAGATCCTTACAATCAAGACATTCACTCGATTTCTCATTTCAAAAAACTGCGTGCTCAAGGTAGCAACCTCAATCGCGACGCCTGCATTTTCTTTGTAAATCGAAGGTTGGCGTATTTTCTTCATTCTAATTAACGCGTGGTTTCAAACGTCTTTTTATTTCAGCACAACTGCGTAGTGCATTTCTTTAAATTCTGGTTTGAGTACAATTGGCTTTTCACCGAAGCAAGCTCTACGAGGTCCGAACAACGTCCGCTCGAAGTCTATCCTCATAAAATCAGAAACCAAAGTTTGGAATTCTTTAACTCCAAATCGCATCTCCAATTACACGAATCCCTTATCTGCTCACGCGTATAAAGGATATTCATCGACGACTCCCCCGTTTAGTGCATTTACACCACCGCAGGCGTGCCTCGTTGGGGCCTTTCCAGCTTGACAGTACGCTGCAGCGCGCCGGGACTTCATAGCTCGCACCAACACTGTCCTTTAGCCTCTTTTGTTGATTTAAGTATTTCGCATCGTTTTTTCTTCTTATTTTTCATTTCAGGCAATCGACCGTTCTATGTCTATGTGAGACCATCGTCGCGAGCAAAATAGAAAAAAGAAATGACCTTATTTGTAATTGCAGTGGTGGATCTCATAGCTATGATTGCGATTGCATATTTTCTTCAATGTTTTACAATGGTTTGATATGTTTCCTGGGACATACCACTGAACTGATTACTTCAACACTCCTACATCAAGAACACCATGTAGGAGTGTTGAAATAAACATTAAAGTGGCCCCTTCCAAGGAAACTCCATGATACCACCACTGTTTTATGGATAAAGCACACCCTTTTACCCAACTTTACCCGAGGAGATGTTCACGTTTTGAAAAAGAATGTTTGATGAGTGAAAAGGGAGAGGAATTCAAAAAATGTGTTCTAAACAAATTTTTTCCTTACCTCTCAGTACTCATCAAAGTGAAACGTAGGACATTTGAACATCGAGAGAACCTAAGAAAAAGGGAAAACGAATGACTGACTGAAATACGTAAACTAAGAAGAAAAAACGATGTGAAATACTTAAATCAACAAAAGAGGCTAAAGGACAGTGTTGCTGCGAGCTAAGAAGTCCCGGCGCGCTGCAGCGTACTGTCAAGCTGGAAAGGCTCCAAAGAGGCACGCCTGCGGTGGTGTAAATGCACTAAACGGGGCAGTCGTCGACGAATATCCTTTACTCTCACATCAGACATATGAGTTTGGCGCGAAAGGTCAAATCCTAGCCTTGAAATAATTTTGTAGTCAAAAATAAAAAAGGTTAGCGCTTTACAAGATGTTCAAACGCAAACTTTTATTAGTTAGCTTTGGAGTATACTTGGGTCCGAATCGAGTGAAAATTCGATTATTCGAAGAAAACAATCGAATATTTTCGCTTCGAAAGTCAATCGGAGTTTTTCCATTTTTGAATAATTTAAAACTCTAACAGTCAAAAAACGGGATTTTGAATGAATTTCAAAGCTGGAATAGTCAAAAAGAGGTCCGAACAATAATAAAAGGATTTGTAAATAATCGGAAACTGAATAATCAAAAAACGGGTATCAAAAAAAAATTCAGAAACTCGAGTGATCAAAAACGGCATCTCGAATAGGTATTCTTCAAATGCTCTATCCGACTGTTTGATTCGAGAAGTCCGTATTTCATTTAACCGAGTTTGTTGCAGAGCCAAATGCTGAGAATCTCATTTCGCCTGCATTTTCTTCTCGCAAAACTCGATAATGCATCTTTTGGCAGCCGTAAACGCCTTTGAACTGTACGGAAACTTGCATTTTTCCAACTGATGCGACAATAAAAAAATGATGTGGGTTTTGATTGATTGCTTGTTCGATTGATGAGATAGTTCGCACTGCTATTGACACCAAACCTATAACCAAATCTAATCGATACCATGTTCAATTAGCCCGAATTCATATACCGGACGATGACATGCCTGCTTTTCTTTCTTTGCGTTGCTCATGCTTTTGGTCCGCAAAGGTCCGCATTAGTGAGCATCTTGCTTGTAAAACTCATGTTGCATAACTGCCTCTATTCTTTATCTTATGGTTAGAGATTTTTCGCGAATGACAGTATGTTTTGAATGAAGGACATTGCAGCTGTAGTGGAGTATTAGACGGTTGCAACATGCAGTTATATCAAATTGCAGTAAAGTTTTTTCAGTAGAGTACATGATAGTTTTGTTATCACAATGCACTCAAGATTTGTTTGCTGGTTCGATTGTCCTGGAAAATTTGAGCTACGAGGCTGGACGTTGGTCATAACCAGCACCCTCAGACGGGGTATCTGAGGGTGCTGGTTATGAATAAAAAGTATTAGGCTGGAAACTAAGTTTTGCAACTGATTTCATAACTTCATTCTCTTTGAATTTGGCGCACTCAAACTTTGGCATTATGTAAAAGGCAATGTGAGCTACAAGTGAGCACGAATTGTCTAAATTTTGAGCACGAAATAGAAAAGTTTCAGGCGTTTTTCGAAAACCAGTGAAATTTGAGAGTTTTTGGGTTTCAAGCTAAAATGAAGCCTTTGGCAACCTAGACCATGCGCAGTAATCTGAATTCGTCTACAGATTATTGCTGGAGGTTGACTCTTTTGGCCTAGTAAGAAAGAAACAAAATTTAGGGGCATGTAGAGATTTGGCGTCCTGATAAAGTAGAACGAGTCAATGTACACAAGAGCTGCTGGGGACGACCGTCAATGACTAAAGAGTCCGAAGCTCAAATTCCGCCGAGACTTTCTATATCGTACACCTACAGTAATCCTACAAAAAAGCCTGTATCACTCAATTTCACTATCGTTTTCGTGATCAGCATGTCGGATAACACCCCTATGCCAAGTTTCAGCCAAATCCGCCAAACTTTGAATTTTTCCCCTTCATACCATGCATCTACCGTAACCCTCACTGCGGCGTCAGAATTTGGTACTACAGCTGCTGCGCTTGTAGCTTACGTAATAACCAACGCAGTGGCCAAATTTGAATGCGCCATGTTGAGTGGGAGCGAAATTATGAGACCAGTTGCAAAACTTAGTTTCCAACCTAATACTTTGTTGATTTTACCGATTTTTGGAAAACTTTGAGCTATGGGGCTTAGAGTTGATGCAATGAGTTGGACAAGGACGCTCACTTTTAAATACTGCTTTATCGATTACATCGAGTTTTGGAAAATTTTGAGCTGCGGAGCTGAAAGTGGGTAGGAAATAAGAGAGTGCCTGCTGGTCATAAAATAAATAAATCGTGAAGGTGCTAATTATAGAAATAAGCAAACGCCTTTGACCGGTTATGTCAGCAAGTTTTAAATAGGGTTGCTCTGTATATTTGATAAATCATTCGCATATTCATTCGAAATTTGACTCACAATGCTCGAATATTCGGGATTCATTCATCCAAAAATTTTTGAATCTCGGATTCATTCGATATTCGTTTATTCGATGAAAAATCTCGAATCTTCCCAAGTATACTTCAGATACCAAGTTTCGCAATGTCTACGAATAATTTCATTGCTGAGCAACGCAACCTCAAAAGAAACTATTAAAATTTCTGGCTGTGGTGGCTGGCTTTAGCCTCGCATGATGCAGAGCAGAAATGATTAAAATGCCATTTCACATAAAAAAACTTTCACTACAGTTTTCCGCAAAAACACAAATTTTCCAGTTCTTGAGATTTTCATGTAACATTGAAGCCTTCTGCAGTGATGAATAACTAATTTGTGCAGGAAAAATTCACGATTTGAGGATAACTGGTGACACTGTAGATTTTTCGCGACTACACTGACAATTACGAAATTTGTAGTGCCGCCTCGAAAGTTTGTTTCTTTGGGGTTGTTAACAAACGAAAAGATGAATATGGGTGAAATTTTTGTATGGCGCAAACCTTTTTTTTAAGTATTAATTTTGAATAAGAAAGTTATCAAACTTTCTTTTTATTTACGCAAGAACATTTGCGAAAGCTATCATAATCAGTTGCTCTGCATGGGGCGATGTAGAGCAACTCTATTCTACATGTCAACGATGGTTTAATTCCTGAGTTTGGGGTACTTTGTACTTTCTCTCAGCGGAACGGGCTGTGCGGCCCTCCACAAAGGACCGTGCGGCCCCCAATGATTTTGCATATTCTCGCGGAAGGTCCGCAGGATGCTGCCAGTGCGCTGCAACTAATCAATGAAAAAACCGCAACTGTTTTCCAAGCATTTATCTAAAATTTGGCCACTTTTCTTCCAAGTATCTGAAAGCGGACCGCAAGAAATCAAAGAACTATTTTTTTGGTGCCCGCCTGTCCATAAATCGCATGGCCGCCTGCTCCCGGCGAGTATCTGAGTTTGGGTTCAGTTCAAATAACTCGCTGTTTAAGATCGTTGCGGCGGCCTTTAGTGCAGCCTGCAACTTC